AAAGAGGTGGCATCTTGGTAGCTGCTACTACAGCAGGTTACAAACTTCACATTCAGGTGTATTACAATTTGCATTTTTATCTGGCAACAAATTAGCAAAATATTTGTTGATAGAACTGCACTTTGTCACAGCCATATGCAAAAGGAATATAAATCCATCAGACAAGGAAGCCTCAGCTGCCAAAAGTTTGTTTCTTTATTTACATGGTGCCTTTATATTTTTAATTGTGAATGATTAGGCTGTTCCATTTCATCCTCTATGGCTTTTTAAAAGGTTTAGTTTATATTTTATTCAATAATTCTGCCAGAAAAAAACATACAATAAATCAGACCCACATATTTGTTTTACCTTCATATTTGTTATAGAGTATTGTATATTGGTATATTATATAATATTTATACATGTCCTTGACAGATGCAGTGTTTATATGTTGTACTGATCTTTTACCTGATGTAGCTGTGTTTTCGGATTTAAGCACTCAAGTGCACCTTAATTGTTTGTAAATGTCCAAAATGCCAGGAAATAATTATTTTTTTACATGTAGATAATCATTATACCTTGGCTATCTTTAATCTGCAGGCATTATATAAGTTATTAATTTTTATACGGAAAATATTTAATTGACATTTTTATTGTTTTGTAAAAGGATTTTACATATACCTAAATCATAAAAAAGTACTGCATGTACCTAAAAACTTCCTTCTCAAAGCATCCAAAATCGAAATGTCCAAAAACGTAAGCACATACAGTACCTGCAGTGTATTGAAAACATTTTTAAGAAGAAAATGTGGGGAAATGATGTATTACAAAATAGGAAAATACATTTTCTGCACTGACTGTGTTAAAATCAAGATCACCAACAAACTATTTATCTAATGAACTTTTTATGTTCCTTGCATTGTATTTGTAATAAAATGTTGCATTTTGATGTTTTTTTTTTTCTCTCTCTGCACATTTCAACTTCTGGTCAAATTATTTTCATTGTCTGTTGTCTGAGATGTCAGAGATCTTCCTCATATCTGATTAGAGGCCCTTCCAAAAGTATCAGTCTTGCTCTTTGATTCTCAGGTTTTATTTTTAATTTAACAACATCACTGCAAAGTCCCACATCCTGTGTATCGAAGGCTACAACTGAACCATAACAAGTGAATCTTGACTTTGTCTCTTTCTATCTATGTCTACACAACTAAACAGAGATCTGACAGTGCTTCAGGGAGCTCTCCTGTTTTAGTGTGTCCAGTGAAACCACTGAACTCACTGAGAGGGAGAGACAGGGAGCAGAGTGAAATGCTACAAGGCAAAGCTGGGAGAATGTTCATCATCCCTTGAGATTACCATACAGCCCTGGAGAAAAACAATCCAAAAAGATGACATTTTCTTGTATTATACTTCTACCATTTTGTGAAAGTGATGGTAGAGAAAGTCAGAAAGCTGTAAAGACCTGGAAACTGTCAGAGAGGTGGGACTGGAGATGCAAAGTCATAAATGTTCTGATGTGTTTGGCAGATGCAGCAGTCTGTGCTCTTTCTTCCAACAGGGATATGGTTCTGGGCCAGCCTGCATTAAAGTTAGATGCACGAGAGCAACAGGATTTTATGCAAACAACCCACGACTAACAGACAGACAGTCTATAACATGCTATATTATCTGTTAAACATCTGCATTAATTCAAGTGCAAACTGGGTTGCAGAAAATGTCTTTCCAGACTGAAGTATTTGTAACAGTGCAATGCACTAGGGCAGGCTGGAATACAGCCGCTTATATTTGCATGATAAACAGCATTTGAGGGTTTTAAACCACTTCCTGCACTTTATTAAGAAGCTCCATCTGCAGTAGGGAGCCAGTCCTAACAGACCAGCACACTCCCTGGAACCAAAAAGCAGAAGGTTTTCGAGGAACACATTGAGAATGCACTGAAAAAAAATCTCTGTGTTTGAGCCACTGCTGGAACTGGAGCTGGACTCATGTCCACCAGTCATTTGCACTGGAAGAGATGACTGATGGATGTTTAAAAGGCACATCTGCAGGGTGAGGAGGATTAAATAACCTGCTGTGAACATTTACATTAATCAGTGGCAGAGGCAAAGCAAAGCCTAAGGGTAGAAATTTCTGTTAGGATGAAAGCAGCATCTGATGGTCTAAGGATAAGAAAAGAAAACAACTGCAAATGAAGCATAAAACAGGAAGGAATACAGCTCATGCATCTGTCCAAGATATGTACAAATATTATATAGTATGCCGATTTACAATATTCTATTGCATCATGATTCCATAATTGATCTGTTCACCTTTAATGATGCACACTCATATTCTTGCGTTCAGCGTCCTTAGTACAGCACTGTGTTTCTTATCATCTCCATATTATTCATACTTTTTGAGATATTCAAACCGTTTTCAACATTTTGATAAATGTTTGAAAATGCTGGAGAAACCTTGAACCCCTTCATAACTCATTCATACTTTAACTTGTGAACATCAGTCCAAGTTTAAATCTGTCACCACTTTTTAGACTTTATATTATATTAAGCTTTTATATTAAATCATTTTCAGCTTTTTCATGATGTTTATAGTTTTTCTATAGTTCCAGGTTTTGCTCTTTTCAGAGCCTCTTAAACTTTAGTATATGTGTTTTTTTGTACAGAATCAGATCTAGAGTGGATGATATCATCACAGTGTGGAGCCGGCTGGTCACCAGATGTTTGTAAGTTAAACCCAACATTCAGAGCATAAATGCCCAAATGCAGAACACAAAGCAGGATGTCTGCACTGGGGGCACTGAAGGCGACCTTCTACATCTCCTCTCTTAGTCTTGATCAGGTGATAGGTGTTGCATAAATCCAACTTGATAAAAGGCCGAAGGCACAATTATATGGTCATGAACCCTGCCCTCTCCATGTTAGAGACATTAAATAAATAAAAAAAAATCAGAATACAAATAAAATACAGTTTTCCCAAAGATGATTTCACAAAAGAAAGATGGCCAATCTGCAATATTTTGGCTTCACTTTTGCAAAGTGGCAGGAAGTGATGACACGCCATCCATCTTTATATCCAATCTATGGTTGAGACGTTTCTTAAATTTTACGACTGCAACCCAGTCCAGCTGTTCACACACAATTTATTTTTAACTGTTATCAGCACTTACACTTCAGCCAACGCTGAAGTGTACACGTTAACTCTCTTCCAGGACTCCATTTCAGTTCTTCAAGATCAATTAATCACCTACACTTCAACCAACTTTTCAACTTCTTTCAGTCCTCAACATTCAACTGAATCTCCATATACTTTCAGCACTTTATTTGAGCTGATGTTTCATTTCACCCAGCGCACACTTAAATGAAGATAGTTGAATTTTGTGCCTACACTGGAACTTTATTCAGAAAATGATTTAACTCTTGTTTCTGCTTCTTTTGGTGTTTGTATTATGACTGCAGCTTCAACTATTTCAGTTTTCGACTATTTCAAAAACTGTCAGGTTTGCTCGGCCGCTCTGGCCTCCCTCACCTTTCCTACTGTCTCTTGCCCATTAACACTAATCACGTTCACCTGTTCCTCACTCCCTTATCACCAGCTGCACTTGATTAGGTTGCTCACTATATTACCCGGTTTCACTCCTCAGTCACTTGCCAGTTCGTTCTAGTCTCTAGGCCATTTTTTCTTCATGCGCTTTTGTTATTTGTATGTATTTTTTGTATATTATTATTCCCTAGCCAGCTACTGTTTTGTGTTCTCCCCATGGACTGTTCCTCCGGACCGTGGCTCCACTCTCCCCTCCCAGGCAGGTCAATGCTCAGTCGCCTATCTGTTCTACTATTGTCATCATCTCTGTCTCCACCTTCAGTAGCCACCATCACCACCGACCAGCCCAGGAGTGACCCAGCCTACGCCTACGCAGCTCAGCCCAGCTCTCCATCTCCTCGCCTCCTGCTGTTGGTCAAACACCCGGCTACTACTCATCGACAGGACTACGCACTATTTCCCTCTGTGCATTTTGTTATTTCTCCTCATCACTGTACATAATAAATCGCTGCTTGCATCGAAGTCGGCTACCAGGGTCCACCTCTTTCTCGTTTGCTCACTGACAGGTGCGAACGGCACATAACAAAAACTTCAATGGCAAAATTGCAGCAGCAAGCACATACATATTTATAATTGTCACAACTGTGCTTGGTCTAATTGTACTTTATTACTTTATAATGGTATTTTACTGAATTCTTCAGTCAGTAGGCAAGAAGAATATACCGTACATGAATGTATTTGAAGATCAAGAGCAGTTGGAAAACAAACTCTGAAAGACAGAGAGAAAAAACTCACAGAGTTTCATTTGTCACTTGCCGTAGCAATAAATCCACTTTAACTGGTTTTTGCTATTGGACTGTGCCAACATGTACTGACGATGCATCTGTAAGGTCTTCTGAAGGCGTGCCGCTTTTTTTCACCACACATCTGAATCACAGATCTGTCAGATAAATTGTTATTGCTAAAACAGCTGTTTCCCTGAAATGTGAAGATGAGGAAACCTTTATCTGGAAAGAAGACGGAGACTTCATAGAGCCCACAGCAGGCTGAGAGATTATTAACGGAGTGGATGAGAAGGGGGAGGTAGTTTCCAAATGTGCAACCAACCGTCCAACTCCAGTTATTGTGAGAAAATGGGAACGAATTAAACCCTGAGTACTGTAAGTGCAATACTGGAAAAGGAACATGGTGTGGTAGTTTGCTGTTTGTTGTGCAAATACAAAAAAAATTCTCTTCTCTCATCTGCTTCTATTATTGTCTCTGTACTCTGCAACCTCTATGCCCTCTGTGACTTATGTCTGTGAATGGTTGAAAATTTGGATTCTCTGTGCCTTGAGGGGGATACTGGAAGAGACTTTTTCTAATTTACTGTGGGATTTTTTTTTCTTTTTCTTCTGTACCCCCTGGAAGCACCACAATATGTTTATTTTGCTCCCCTTACAGCTTAATCATCAGAAA